GTCTCCACTGCAATATAAGCTTCGCACAAGGGCCGCACAAGGGCCTCTCCTAATAGGGAATCTGACCCTGCCACACATTGCTCCACTCCAGCTGCTTTCTGAAACCTTGGCACAAGCTTCCCTTACTCCTGCCTCTCGTGCCTGTGTAAGCCGCACTGCCAAGTTCTGCTGCCAGTTTAAGATGTAGTATTGGACCCCTTGGGCCACAGCTACAGTGACTTCTGTGTGCTAACCCTAGGGAAGCACTTCCCTGGGTGGTTATTTTGGAGCCGGAAACCCTTTTAGCCCCATTCTTAATTCAGTCACTTTCCTTTCCGATGAATTTGCATCTTCATAAGTTGCAGCTTTCGGTGAGTGGGCTCTTGCCCTGCTCTCTCAGTGCAAGGTACCAGGATTCTTTTTCATAGTGTCAGTCTCTTTAACAATTACAGCTGCCTGCAAACCTGCCTTGTCTACAGCCTTAAACAGCTTTCTTGGCCAAACAGCACATTCCATACCTTCCTGTCCCATTTGTTCCCCTGTCTCACAGGGTAAGAGTAGTGACCAGAAACAAGTAGACAGACTGAATGCTACCCTGTCCTGAGATTCTGCACTAAAAGCAAATTGCTTTTTAGATCTGCCTCCCTCTTGTTCTCAGAACAGAGGCAGAATGTGGGCTGGGATGTCGGGGTTTTGTGGGCTATTCTGGGGGTTTAGCATCCTGGTTTTCCAAACGCTCCCCAGAATAGCCCCCAAAGTGCTGCCTAAGGAATTCTAGGGCTTTTCCTGTTCAAAGTTCCAAACTCTTCCATGTTCTGCAAACCAGCTCTGAAGACCCATGTTTATCTCGACAACAGGACTACTCTCAGTATCAACTTCCTGTCTTTGTTATTTTACGTATTGCTGTGACAAAATACTCGATTAAAAAAAACTTAAGCAAGAGTACATTTTGCCTCACAATTTAAGAGTACAGTCTATAATGATCAAGAAGAATTGCCCTTAACAGCTGGAGGCAATGGGGTACTCCATGTCCACAGTGAGGAAGCAGAGGAAGGCTGCTTAGCCAGCTTTCTCCTTTGTAAGAAGTCCAAGACCATGGGATAGTATTACCTGATTCAAAGTAGGGCTTTACTCCTTAGTTTTCTAGAAACATTCTTATAGGCTCACCTAGAAGTATGCTTCCATGGTGATTTTAAATCTAGATTAGCCACACAGTTGTCTAACCCTGTAGGTAGTAAAGTTAGCTGTGGGCAACAGCAACATCCTGTTGTCAAGCTGTACTCAGAAGGCCCTGGGGGCACAAATAAGTTACTTGAGGGAAGAGCTGAGACACGTCCACCATCCCTCTTCCAGCTGAATCACCTCTTCCTTCACAGCCTGCACCAACAGCCTCATTATCACATGATCAAGACAGAGAAGTCTTAGATCTGGCTCTGTGCAATATGCTGTCATCACCCAAACATGAGCAGTGACAGCTTTACAAATGTCTCTGAGACATTCCTGATGGTCCCTTGTGATTGAAGTGCCCCGCATGGACAGCTACAGGCAAAGGATCTACATTTCATTTTGGTTTTGGAAAGAGTCAAGAAATATCAACCCATACTGATTCATGGGTTGTGGCCAAATACTTGATTGGATAGACAGAAAAGGGACATGAGTAGGAAAAAAAAAAAAAAAACAGTTACCAAAAGTCCTGAGAAAGGGATAGATTCGGAGGAAGGTAGGTGTTTTTTGTCCCTTGTGAATGCTCACTGAAAGGTGCCCTCAGAAATATTCAAATAACCAAGAAAGTAGGGTGACCCATTTGTGAAGCCCAGACAGCTCTTACACTACCCATCATTGGCATTGACTTCATAAACAACGTAGCCAAAGTGTTAGGAGCTCAGGAACATGGTCCTGTATGACTACCCTGGCCAGAGCCGGTGCTGGGTGCCCACTCCACTTCAGCAAAAGCCAACACCCCGTCCCTATCGGACACTGTCCTGCAGGCTGCCCAGCCCATTGCCTGAGGAAGGTTAATTATGTCACTTCCACCACAGAAGGGGCAACAGCCTCTTGTTCTTACTTGAATACGTAGATTGATTCTGGATGTGGATTGGCCTTCTCTGCATGCAGTGCTGTGATCAAACTCCCATCCATCCTTGTCGTTGCTTATGGTGGTCCACACAACACTGCTTCAAACCAAAAGGCCCACTCCCTGCCATGGATGTGTGGCAGTAGGTTCATGGTCAAGGATTAATTGATCTTCTCATATTCCCTATAATCCTGAAGCAGCTGGCCTAACAAAAGGAAAAAAAATCCTTTGAAAGTTTGTTACCATGCCAAGCAGAAGCAATACCTTTCAGGACTGGGGCTGAGCCCTCTAGGAAGCTATGCATGCTTTAGATATGGTGCCATTTCTCCAATAGGTCTCAGAGAACCAAGAGTCAAAGTGAAAATGGAATAGGCACCACTATTAATCCTAGTGACTCATTATCAAAATTTTACTTCCTGTCTAAGATCTCATGCTCTGCTCATCCAGAGGTCTCAATTCAAAATAAATAAATAATTAAAAATAAAAGAATGATTCCAACAGAACTAGGGGCAACAGAACTAGTCCAGTGACCGGGCACTGTGATGCCCTTGGTTCCTTCCCCAACCAGACAGGTAACAATAAAAAGAAGGAAAGAGGAAGGAGGAAGAAGAAGCTTCCTTCAGGAGACAAACAATGATCTCCATTGAACTAGAAGTTGAAATAGCCCCTAGGGACCCTCAAACTTCTGCATCAGAGTTCGAATAAAGGACTTGTTCTAATCATAGTTGACCCTGATTATCAAGGAGAAGTTAGGTTGCTACTACACAACAGAAGCTAAGGAAAAATAAGCTTGAAACACACACCTGTAAACCAAACGTGGTTGTCCACACCTGTAATCCTAGCACCTGGGAGGCTGAGGTGCGAAGAGTGCCCTGAGTTCCAGACTGGAAAGTGCAACATTGTGTCAGAAAATGGATGGAATGGGGGGAGGGCAGAGGAAGGGGAATGGAGGGAGCTGGGGATAGGGAGGATCTTAGGCTTCTCTCAGTACTACCATGCCCTGTGATTATAGTCGGTAAAAACCTACAACAAACTTAAGTGACAGCGTGTGTCACTCCGCCAGTCTAAGAACCACAACTAGATAACAGAAAGGAAATACCAGATTGGTAAGGAAGAATACTAGTAGCAGCTATATGTCCCCTAGCTTATACTCTCTCCCCTAAGATTTATTAATGATTTGTAATAATGGCTAACACTATAAGTTACAGGATGGATACTAAGTGTGAACACAAGCAAGGCATGGTGACACTCATCTGTAACTCTAACACTCAGGAAGCAGAGGCAGATGACCATGAGTTCAAGGCTAGCCCAGGTTATATAGTGAGTTAAAGACAAAGGGAATGTGTGTGATGGCGCCTGGCTACCATCCTAGGGCTCAGGAGACTGAGGCAAGGTCACCCTAAGTTTGAGACCAGTTTAGGCCACATACAGAATAAGACAGTCTCCAAACCAAAAACAAAAACATGAAAAACAAAGAAGGGTGGGAATTGACAAAACTAAGACTGGGAAGTTTCTGTTTGTGAACAAAACACTTCTATGTTAGACAAAACATGCTTCAACAGTCTATGACAAGATGAACTGTGATCAGCATACATGTCAATTTAAGTAGACCTCCTCCTAACAATGGGAGCTGTCTCTCTCACCTGCACTTGGGACCCTTTTACTCCTCCTGGGTTGCCTTGTCTAGCCCTGATAAGGATTTGTGCTTAGTTGTATTATATCTTGTTATGCTGTGTTTGGCTGATATCCCTGAGAGACCTGCTCTTTTCTGAAGGGAAACTGAGGAGTGGACCTGGGGGTGAGGGGGGGGCAGGGGGACTAGGAGGAGTAGAAAATGGGAAACTGCAGTTGAGTGTATTGGAAAAGAAAAAATTTAAAAAAAAAATCCTGTTACTCCAACATTAACCTGGTGTGCTTCATGTTGCATGGAATAATCTGTAGGTACAATTGCAGAGTATTCTAGGTCATTTAAGCCTTAAAGGGTGGACCTGATGCTGGGCATGGAAGTCCACCTAAGGACAGCAGTCTCCAGCCTACCCTTTCTGGTGGTCCCAGAATCACAGTAAAGATGTTGGGAGTCCAGGAATGCATTTGATGTAGAAGAAGCAGGAGGGAGCATCCAACTTAGGTCACCAGAGTGATCTGCAGACCCAGGCAGATGAGGAAGTGGCGCTTAGAATGTCTCTTCATCCCACTAGGGTTTTCCCACAACCATCTGTCACTCAGACATCAGTTCCAATGGGCAAAGTCATGTGGTTTCTCAGCCCATGGTCCCCGAGCCCAGCCCTGCTGATGTTGTCCTCAGAGAGTGACAGCACATAGCTTGCTGTCATCACCTAGGTACTTTCTCATCTCAAACGCATTCTTTCCAGCCAAACTCATCAGTCATGGGTACCTTGAAACACAGCTGACACTCAATCAGCTGTTGGGAAAGTAGGTGTGCCATCTTAAAGGACTGAAGCTGTCAACTTAGAGCCAGATGTGGTGCACACACCTTTATTCCCTGTACTCATGAGGCAGAGGCAGGTGGATTTCTGTGAGCTCAGGGCCTTCCAGGCTTTCCAGGCCAGCCAAGGGTAGACACAGCAAGAAATTGTCTCAAAAAATAAATAAATCACATGGGTGGATGAAATTCTGTTGCCAAACCCACTGCTAGCTGGCCTTTCAAAAACAGACAACATATAATATTCCAGTTAGAAGGACAACATCCTCAGAGGCTTATATAACTGCCGTGATCACCCATAATTATTGTACAAGAAACACTTAAAAATTCAACAGACATAGCAAGGCGGCAGTGGTGCACACTTTTAATCCAGCACTCAGGAAACAGAGGCAGGCAGATCTTGGTGAGTTTGATGCCAGCCTGGTTTATAAAGCAAGTGCCAGGACTGTTATACAGAGAAACCCTGTCTTGAAAAAACAATTCAGCAGACTGCTCTTTCAGCCATTTCTTTGCTTTATTTACAGTTTGTGTTCAATGCAAATCAATTCCATAACATGAGAAGTTACTATGAATCAAAGCATAAATACACAAACACAATATACAATCAAATAGACGTACAGCATTCAGGTAGGTGGTGAGAGGAATGTTCATTCACACACACAGTAGCTTCGGGTCTGAGGTCTTCTTGTTCCCAGGTGGGTTTCTAAAGATGGAGAAAGTGACTCTGGTTATCAAGACTACTGTGGTCATATTAGATCCCAGAATGTGTAAGCATCAGTGTGTGACCATGCGAACAAAAGGTTTTTTCCAAGGAATGTCTATGTTATAGAAGGTATGTGTATATGAAAGCTGTTGGAAAAACTTAACTGTAGAACCAAACCCCCTTTCAGGCACAGGACCAATGTCAAACTATCTAAAAATATGAACTGATAACCAAAGTATTCCAAATGTGGCTATTCTGATCCATTGTTTTGTTTTTCTCTTTTTAAAAAAAGTATTTACAGAAATTGTATAAAAGACTTTGTGAATTCAATGCAAGTTAGCGTCCAGTCTTCATGTCCCAAATACTAGGTTTATGATTTTGGCTCCTTTGCATATTTGCCTTTAGGATTTCAAGATTCATAATTTTACCTTCCTAACAGACCACACCTTAAATCATGAAAACCCCTCAACATATGCAGAAATAAAAAGCAGCAACTGAAATTGGCTAAAGTCAATGTAATTCTGCTGATGGAACCAGTTAAGTGAACCTGGCACTCGTGTTGAGTGAAAAAAGATGATGGAAAATGCCTACTATTTGACTTTTGAAATAAGATTTATTCAATGATGGCTGGATTTGGGGGTCGATTCCAATCCATAGTTGCCTGGCACATGTCAATTACTAATAAAGGTCAAATATAAACTGAACTTAAAGCCACAGAAGGAGGGGGTAAAATGTTCAATTTCAAAGAGAACAGCTCAACAATGTGGAACTTTACCTAGAGTTTAGCATATTAAATTAGTAGTAATGAAACAATACATTGAGGATTTAAAGTAACACCTGGTAGTTCCTTCCAACATATACATAAATAACATCAAGGAAACCTTTAATGTCACCTAGCTGTGTTATGGCCTCACAGGTAATGAGCCAATGAAAACTGAATCTTCATCCCACATTCCATCCTCATTTCTACATAAAACCTATGCTTGATTTCAATATAGACCAAGTGTCCGCATTTCCTAAGCCTCGTTCAAGGCAATCACGTCAACATTGGATGTTATCACTTCATCTTGAACATAAAACTCCAGCGGATTCAATATTGGCATTCATCATCTGTCATACCCTTCACATGAATTTTCAATGTTTTCTGTTGAGGTGTGATAATAGTAGATTTGATGTGGACCTGTTTCTTCCGGGTCACACTGGACTTGGGGTTACCATTTGGGCTGGGTCTAGAAGATGGGGAAGTAGAGACGTTTCTTGGACTGAGTCTCTAACAGTAGAAATGTAGAAGAGAAAGTGAGATGGCGAGGAGACCAGCTGTTGACTGCAGGGAACTGCCACCTGCTCTGGTGGTGGCATTAGTTGGATTTGGGGCAGTAGAGATACTCTGGTTACTTGAAAACGGTGCAACAGATGTTTGGTTGCAGTAAATCTGAAATACATTAAAAAAAAATCACAGATAAATTTTCAGAATCATCCACAGCTAGCTTCATTTACACTCTGTAATAACACTCAAGCAGAAGACATCAAACACGGGAACTTTGGGTTGCTAAGCATTAGCTCCACCACTGAACTAGACCCCCCAGTCCCTGACCCACCCTAAGACCGCTTTTTCCCATTGTTCTCTTGGCTACATCACTAAATACTGAATTCACCAAAATAATTCTTCATATGTAGAATACAAATAGTAGCAATCAAAGTCCTTCAAGCCTGGTGTGGTGATGCATCATCTCAATATTTGGAAGGTAGAGGCAGAGGATCACGAGTTCAAGGCCAGCCTTGGCTACATGAAACCCTGTCTCAAAAAACAAAGAGTTCTCCGGACTACATAAGTGTCAAGAGCAGGACTGATTCTAACCCTGCATAGTGTAAGGAAGGACCCCAGCTCATGTGTTTTCTGATGTTACATGGATTTGCGACCATGGCAGCAAGGTTTCCTATTTCCCTAGACAAGGGGACTTTTTAAAGTTGAGCCAGGTTGGTGCCTCAGACCTTAGCGAGACAGAATTTGAAACAGAGATCTAGAACTTAAGGCCAGCCTGGATTTTATGGCTAGACTCTGCCTAAGAAAACAAAACTTGTGTGTGGCCAAGAGTTGTGGCACACACCTTGAATCCTGACACTCAGGAGGAGGCGGAGGCCGGTGGGTCTCTTTGAGTTCAAGTCCAGCTTGGTCTAAAAACCAAATTCCAAGTCCTACACAATAGGACTTATCTCCAAAACAAAACAAACCACAACAAACAAAAAACCTTGTATGTAATATGGGGGTGTACACACTTGGGGGTGATTGAGATCTGTGGTACTAGAGTTTGTTGGGTCACGGTCCATCCTGGTGTGCTGAGTCTCCGGTTTCACAGCCTGGGAACGATTACCTCCAGAAAATATATTAACATTTAAAACGTAAAAGGGCATTTCGTATCCCATCTGCCATCTGCTCCTTTGAAATCTTGACATTATAACCCTTCTCAAAACTGGCCACAATGTTTATTTTCAATTGAAAAAATGGGAGCTAACCACCTAGGGATGTATAGCATTAGTAGAACACTTGCTAGCATGTGCAGGCTCTTGGGTTTGACCGCAAGCATGAGAGGTTATTAATGATGACTTTCATCTAAATTTCAAAAATATTGTAAAATCCTTGCTCTGAGGCAGAAGGACTTCAGTTGAAACATTCCACCTCACAAAAGGCAGGGTTTGGAGTTAAATTCACTAGCTCACCGCCTGGTCACTAGCTCTGCGATATGGCCCAGAACCAAGGCTTCCCCCTTGTGTCCCAGCATCCTAGTGGCATATTCACCGCTGCTTTCGCGAGCCACGAAATGCACAGTCCAGAGAGGCACGTGATACTCTCCTTTGTCATGGAACAAAGGCTGATCCGAGTTTTCAGCCCTCACTGAAAGGGAGGGTTTGCCAGGGCTTGCGGAGAGCTTCCGATTACAGGCAAGAGGGAGGACGACGTGGCACCAAGTAAAGACTCTAGCCACACGTTCATTCGGCCACCGGCGGCCCCTTGATCCAAAGATAAATCCTCCTACATCAGCACTAGCTCCTTTGTTCTACACTCGAAAAGCCATTAAGCAAATATTGACTAAAGAAATGTACAGATTGTGACCAAAGAAGACTGCCCACAACAAAATCCTGATCCAGTCAGTTACACTTACTGGCGCCTACTGTGTGTAAGACAGAGCCTGCCCTATCAGGAAGTGGTGTTCCCATGAAAGGGAAAACATTAATATGCTAAATTGTTTAAAACAGGGAGCCCGTCTCGTGGTACACGAAAGTAACTGTACAGCAGGTGACAAAAAAAAAAAAAACCAAAAACCCAAACGATAAAAAAAGAACCGAGTGCACCAATCTGAAAGTCTAAAGGTTAAATGTTAATTATTAAGTCGGCATTAAAGAATTTTCTCCAAGCTTCCTTGATTTGCTTAACCAAAACCTCTCTCTTAACATTTCAATGGGGGAGGGACACTGGGGACGAGGTAATCTTGGTGACTGGGACCAGCGGGTTTCTTGAGGCCGCACCCCTGGGGCGGGGGGGGGGGGGGGGG